ACACGACTGAGGGTCGGACGCAGACACAGTGGCAAGGGCACAAAGTCGAAGTCTTGGATTCCCGAATGCCGAAACAGCAAGTCACACGGAGTACGAGTACAGCAGCGGGAAACTGGTACGAGACTGGTCCCCGTACCATACGGGGAGCAGGTACTTATAGTACCGGTGACACATACGGTACCAGGGGCATTTCTGCAAAGGCCCCCGAGGGCAGAACTGAAAAATGCGGTATTTGAAAGGGGCGCCCAAATTGCAGCATGGCGCCAGTTGTCCAAAATCCTACGGTACCAAAGGAGGGGTTTGGAAAAAGGGTGCCATGCCAAAAACGGGATGCAGCCGAAACAGCAAAAAGATAGACCAGGGATCGAGCCCTGGAGGAGTCCGTAACACCTCCCGTAATGAGGGGCAGCACATCCAGGATCAACGAAGAACCGAAAAAAAAACAAACTCTTTGGACGTGAAAACAGCTGGATACAGAATTGCGGGCACATGTGAGAGTATGCCCTCCTGCGGGCCGTTACAGGAGGAGAGAAATGAAAAGGGAAAAAAAAAAAAAAAAACAATCTCTAGGGACGTGAAAACATCTGGATACAGAATCTTGAGTACATGTGAGAGTGCCCCCTTCGTTGCAAAGTGTCAGCTGTCCGTGGATTCCGCCCTCTGCCTGGTTGGCAGGGCACTATAACGACACCAAAAGGGGAAAAAGCTTCAAAAAAGAAAACCAAAAAAAAAGGAAATCGGAACTAGCAGTTATTCTGGGCATACACATTCCTTCAAGCACTGATGTGAGCATACCACCTTCACGGCCTTCCCCAATGTCCTTCCTTTCCCCTCTGTGTTTTTTTTTTTCTTTTTCTTTTTCTTTTTGCTGTACGGGCCCACAAGGCCCAAACACTTTCTTTTGCCCAAGCCTCCTCGGGACCCCCAAAAAATGTGGTGTGACGTATATTCCCGTTATTCCCAACACCGAGAAAGGTAGTGGTGGTTTAACACAAATTTAACAGTTTAAAGTTTAAACTCTTATTTCGCCAGAATTCAAAATTCAAATCGATCTGCGACTCGCCGACTTGTTATTCTCAGTTTTTTTTCCGTCTCAATGTGGACCATTTCTCAATCTATGCATGTGGTCCTTGCGCAGGTGTCATGCTAATCGTCTCTCTATCGATCCAATTTTAAACCGCCGGTACACCCAGGCCTGCAGGCCCCTTGCTGTGTGCCAAGGTTTTCCGGACGGCCAGCGGCACACATTTTTTCTGTTTGGCTGATGCCGCTAGCCATCGTCGTCAGATAGGCCGAGCCCCCAAATTTTCCGGTAGGCTTAGAGTTTCTTTTTCAGCACGGCTTGGGCCGTGTACTGGCGGTTCAACGGATTCATTTTAATCAAACTTCAAAAAAGCCTACCCTACCCAGTCTGAATTGAAATCTATCCGCCGCCTGGATCAGGTTAAACCATACCACACGCCCAGTCCACGTAATTGCTAGCCTCGCGCACCAAACCCCCACCGTTAGAAACCCAGTTGAGCCCACTCCGTCAGATAGGCCGAGCCCCCAATATTAGTCTGCCAGGCACTACCGTAGTAAAGCTTCATTGGCGATTTTTTTTTTCTTTGTAGTAGACGCTTTTCAAGCTGCGCCCAGGACGAAATTCCGCGTATTAGATCCAATTGTGCCGCTGCTACGAGCCCAGATCTTCTACATATCGTTCCAATTTTAGCGGATGTCAGGCACCAAAAAGATCAAGCTGTTCTTCACAGACATCCACAGCTTCGCAAACTTCTTTCAATCAAAGGCGCACCCTTTTTGGACAGCAATCCCTTTCTAAGTTCTATTTACCATATTCAAGGAGGGAGAAAAACCTAGGCTGCCAGCTGTCCGATGGGGACATGCCTCTCCCGGACATCTCCGGGAACCCGGACAACAGCTTTTTGCAACTAAAAAAAAAAACGAAAAACAAAAAACGGGGGGGGGGTCTGCGCACCACTAGGGGACCCCCCCCCAAAAAAAATTCAGGCTGTTCTGAACAAAAACGGAAAAAAAAAAAAAAAAATTCATAAACAGTGAAACAGTCTTTGGGGGGGTGTGCCTGTGTGTGTGTGGGGCGGGGGGGTGAAGTGACTGGCCACCGCACAAACTCCACCAGCCCTCCCCTTTTTCCTTTTTTTTTTTTCTTTGGTAATCGATCAATTGATTGATCGATCAGTCAATCAATCAATCCATCAATCGATCAATCGATCAATCAATCAATCAATCAATTATCAAGATCGATCTTGATATTTGATTTGATTATTTGATTGATTGATTGATTGATTAATCGATCGATTGATTGGTCGATTGATTGGTCGATTGATTGGTCGAGGAGTAGGAGGGGGAGGAGGAGGGGGAGGCCACGGCGATGGAGGAGGAGGAGGAGGCCGAGCCGATGGAGGAGGAAGAGGAGCCAGCATACCCATCAGGACGAGGACGAGTCCATGACGAGTCCATGACGATGGAGGAGGAGGAAGAGGAGGAGGAAGCGGAGGAGGAGGAGGCCACGGCGATTGATTGATTGATTGGCGCAGATACTAGGGCCCGACTGGAAGCTGCTGGCTGGGTCGAGCGCACGGGCACTGGGGTGTGAGGTGCACTGCTGGGCAGTGGGCGCACGGCAGCCAGAGCCGGGCTTCTGGGCGAAGGTCTGGATGGCGATGGTGGTCCTTGGGTGTTGGGGATGCACACTGTGGGGAAGTCAAGGGGTGATGTGAGAGAAGAGAGAACGTACCTGGTGTATGCTGGCGGTCTGCATTGGTGTTGATGTCATGTACATTGGTCATTCGGCGTCAAAGTGAGCCTGTTGCACAAATGTAGATAGGCTAGATAGGATGAGTAGAGTAGGCTGGGTGCTGGGCGCCAGACAGTAGGAGTGCCATTGAATACTGCGTTGGTGTGGCCTGAGGGCTTGGACATTGGCTCACAAGTTCATTGTTTCGCTCTTATTTGGATGGAATCTTGGTGTATCTGAGCTCTCTGCTTGTTACATGACTATCTGGACTTCTGCGTGATTTTGCACCTTGAGTTTCTGTTTATCGCTCTGGCTCATGTTCCTTGCACAAATATGGGGTTGTAGGGTTCGACAAACCCTACAATCCCTTCTTTTTCTTTCATGTTTTATTTCGCCAGGGGTAAATCCGTAAAAATCGTGGCCGCGACTTTGGGGCCGCCCTCCGCGGCCACAAACATGGCCCCCCTCCGAGTTTGACCCCGCAGCCGTGGCCGCGGGTGATACATAGATAGTGATTGATTGATTGATTGATCGAGGAGGAACCCGTGGAGGAGGCTGCAGCGATGGAGGAGGAGGAGGAGGAGGGGGAGGAGGAGGAAGCCACGGCGATGGAGGATGAGGAGGAGGAGGTCGCAGCAATGGAGGAGGGCCAGGCGATGGAGGCCGAGGAGGAGGAACAAGAAGAGGAGGAGGAGGTCGCGGCAATGGAGGAGGACAAGGCGATGGAGGACGAGGAGGAGGAAGAACGAGGCCAAGGAGGGGGAGGAGGAAGAAGAAGAAGAGGAGGCTGCGGCAATGGAGGACGAGGAGGAGGTGGAGGAGGAGGAGGAGGAGGTGGAGGAGGAGTTAGAAGGATGACGAGGATGTCGATGGGGAGGAGGAGGAGGAAAAGGAGCAAGAGGAACAAAGGGAGGAGGAAGAAGAAGACAAGGAGGACGAGACAAGTGCGAAAGGGAGAAAACATGGAAGAGGAGGAGAAGAGGAGCAGCGGAAGGAGGAGGGGGAGGAGGTGGCTAACCTGGAAGTTGGTGGCGATGGCGCGTGGGGTTGTGGTGGACGGCGTCGGAGTTCGGGAAAAGCAACACCGAACTCTGACGACAGCACGCTGACCAAGACGTGGTCGTGGGAGGCCGCCCAGGCCCCCACATTCGAATTTCAAAATGGCCCAATCTGGGCCATCGATCTCGCAGATCTGACGGCCCAGATCGGGCCCTACCAGCCTCCAAAAAATTATCCCGCCCGCCCCCCGCTTCGCCTGTGCCCACAGCCCAGCCCTGCGCCACCCAAGTTCTCTCCCCCCCCCCCCCWTTTTTTATACTATCGGACGTGGGACCCCGGGCGGACGGCCGACAGGTTGTCCGATCGGACAGTCCCGGACGGTAAGGGGGGGGTCCCGAACGTCCGATCTGGCAACATAGAGAAAAACTGATTTTCCAACGTTTTCCCCAGTAGTCGCAAAAACGCTTACCTTCTTCCCCCGACTACAACGTACGGTCATTTTCGCTGCATCTGGACTGAAATGTGAGCCAAATGCGGTCATAATGATCGTATGTTCTAGAGGGTCGGAGAGAAAGCAAGCTAGCTGTCGGTCCATAAGTTCTATTTACCCTTTTCAAGGAGGAAGCAAAACTGGTTTTCCAATATTTCCACGGTAGTCACGAAAACGCTTAAGGTGAACCTGAAGGGTCAGAGAGAAAGCAAGGTACCTGTGAAGTAACTCGGAGTCGATTCCTGTGTTGCGTACGAGCTTTGCTCACCATTGAATTTGGCGACATATACAGTCTCTGCAAGCAGTCAGAAGCAATCCAACAACCATAAACAGTCAGAAGACTAAGACGTACTAAGAACCCACCACCAGGGAACCTTCCCTCACACCAACCTCTCCACCACAAATTCCCAGCCAGACATCACACACAAGAGGGCGACAGGCATGTATGAAGGGATCAGACACAGTATGTTCAGACATGCCACAACAAAGAATACTTGAAACGAGGATGCATTATGTTCGGCCGTGTGCGATAGGCGCATATATCAGGGCAATAGTCACAATACACATCATGCTCAGACCTGCCACAACAAAGAACACTTCAAACGAGGATGCGTCATGTTCGTCTGAGTGTGGTAGCCACATATAGTACGACAATACAGAACAAAGAATACATTATGTTCGGCCGTGTGCGCTGGCGCATATATCAGGACAGTACACATTACGCTCAGACCTGCCACAACAACGAATACTTCAAACGAGGATGCGTCCTGTTCGTCTGAGTGCGGTAGCCACATATATTACGCATTCTGCTCAGACCTGCCACAACAACGAATACTTGGCATGAGGGTGCGATATGTTCGCATAAAAGGATGGTAGGCACATATATTTGTCTCATACACATTATGCTCAGACCTGCCGCAAGAAAGAATACGTCAACGTATTATTCCACTGCTGGAGAAACACACCCCAAGGAAGAGAGCACATGGAAGAGGTGTGGCTAAGGAACCTGATGACCTCGGAGTACAAACACCTCCCTCCCACCCTCACTCCCAAACGATAGACCTGATTCTTGTGGACAAAGGAGGGTCCTCATTTATGGCCTGAAAATCACTGCCATCTTCCTTGGGACAAAGGAAGCCCAAGAAAGAGGTGCACAACTGAACATCAAAGACAAGTTGCAAGGGTGGGGGAATCCAGAGAATGACAGAGGTGGACCTGAGACTGCACGGTCTTTGAAACAGAGAGGATGGAAGTAATGGGGCTAAATTCAGAACTTTGTACAGATTTCAGATACTGAGAGGGGTGGTGGAGATGAGACTGCAAGGCCTTCGAAAAACAGTAAGGGTGGAGGACGCGACCAAACCCCTAAAGAGGAGTAGTGTAGGAGGGTTGTCTGAATGATTACCTTCTCTACAGTTGACCTACGCGTCGGCAGCTCTGTCCGTGGGGAGTAATCAAACATTTGGTGTAGAAGCTCATTATCCTGCAAGGACAGCAACAGATCAACAAAAGCGGACGGTTCATCGTAACTTCCGGGTCTAGATCATACAAGCATATAAACCCCCGCCCGTACACAGGCGCGCATAGCAGGCACCATGATTAAATGAGAGGCATTACATGGAAAACCATAACAAGACGAAAGCCAAGAACAGGGACAATCAACCATGCACTGGGGGTAAGGAGGTAAGATTTCCTCTTCCCTACAGCATTATTTCGACAAGGAAGACAAAGAAAGATGATACCAGCAAGGCCACAATCTCATTCCATTCCGAATAGAAGGTGTGGGCAGGGGGGGGGGGGGGGGAACCCCCGTAAGTAGCAGCAACCACAAGTACCAGCAAAACCCACAAACAGCAGTGAGATCTCCCACCCAGGCGGCTTGCCTTAAGGATCAAACACCAACATCACGTTTACACTGAGTAAAGCATGGACCTGGCAAGCTTTATTACAAGTACATTCCTGCTCGAATAAGATGGAGCATAACACCCTGACGCATCGCCCTCGTACAGCCACCAGGCCATACACTTGGCTTGAAATTACCTTCATCCGCCAACCACAAACCATGCCCTTCTACATCTCAATACGCATGCATTAAATCAAGCAAGCATACGTCTGTTTCGTGCAATGACTCTACACGTCAATAGCTCTCTCTCTCTCTCTCTCTCTCTCTCTCTCTCTCTCTCTCTCTCTCTCTCTCTCTCTCTCACACACACACACACACACACACACACACACACACACACACACAATCTCTCTCTCTCTCTCTCTCTCTCTCTCTCTCTCTCTCTCTCTCTCTCTCTCTCTCTCACACACACACACACACACACACACACACACACACACACACACATATTCTACTGTGCACATTAACCGACAAAAATCCCTCCCCTTTCCCCACTCCCCCCTTCTCCCTCTCTCTAAGACACACTCTAGGGGCACACACACACACACACAACGGACACACACACACATTCTACTGTGCACATTAACCGAAATAGCTCTCTCCCTTTCCCCCACTCCCGCCTTCTCTCCCTCAGACACACTCTAGGGGCATATTAACTGGAATAGATCTCCCGTCCCCTACTCTCTCTCTCTCTCTGGGAGCATATTAACCTGCATAGATCCCCCCATGCTTCATCTTCATGTTCTTTTTTTTGTTTCGTTTTATAATTTCAAAGGATTACATGGAGAAGCAGATTCTTCACTTTTATGACCAACGGCATCTTTCTTTTTCGTTTCTTTTGTAATATGTAAACCGACAAAATTTTATCCGTTATAAGCCCATACACTGTCCAGAAAGCATACTTCTAGCTCACACACTTGTGTTCTGGTATAAAGCACACAAGGAGAAGGGCACTTGGCGAGGGAGTCTACGGGAGGAGGATGGACATTCAGGGTGCAAGCCATACCTGTAAATGGCGCTGGAAACCTTCGGCCAAGAATCGTCTTAATGCATTCAACTGCAAAGAAAGCCCGGACACGGTCCCATCATCATTGTGATATGATCACACATGTGCACGTGCCCAGATATCATCCGATAAAAAAAAACTTGTACCCCCATAAAGTTGCACTCGCGTTTCCCTGTCTCTCGCCATTGCCCAGACTTCCCAACTCATGTCGGATCCACTCCGTCTCCCAGATGCATCCCCTCTCCCACAACTCCAAAATCATACTCACAGATAAGACAAACAAAATGTCAGATGCAGCGCCAACACCATCTACAGTTCTCCCATGAGGAAATAAAAAACAGCAACATGATAAGATGAAGAGAAGTCCACATGCATTGCACCGGATCACTGCACAAATGCACCAGCCTGCCTGTGCTTGTTGCTAATTCAATCGTGAAAGAAAAGAAATTAGAAATGGGCCAGGGTTGCATACCTGCGGACCGCCGACGTTTTGCAGTCAATCGGTAGGGCCGACCAGTCAGAAAACAACCATCGACTGATTTTTTTTCAAATCTGAGTTGGGGGCTGTACTGCCCTGCTGAGTACAGCCCAAATCCCCTGAGGATTGGGGGGGGGAGGGTATAGGGGGAGTATACAGGGAGCACAGGGGGGTATAGGCATGGGGGGGGGGGGGGGGGGGGGGGGGGGGGGGGGGGGGGGGGGGGGGGGGGGGGGGGGGGGGGGGTATGAGGGTATTGGGGACCCGTATGGGGGTGTTGGTGGGGTTATTAGGGGTTCTGGACACAGAGAAAAGAGAAAAAATATATATTTTTATTTATTTATTTATTTGCGGGGTGCCAACGACCCCTGACCGGTAGGTGCCGACCAGCCGACCGGTCGGCTGGTCGGCAGCCGACCAGTCAAGGGCCGCCGACCGTTGGGGTATGCAACACTGAAATGGGCCTTACAATTGTAAATGGCCATTATATATTATTTAAAACTGTACATCGTAAACACCAGGACAGGACATAACCTTTCGAAAGAAAAAAGAGAAAGAAACACCATCGAGGTAATTTTTTTGTAGTGGCGGATGCCTAACTTGCAGCCAATACAGAATGATTGCGACTAAAGACATTTAGGCCACAGCCGTACAGCAAGGCCCCCACGGGTGCTATGTCTGTGCTTAGGAAGCATGAACCTGCCTGCTTTTTCTGAGCCCAAACATATCACCAGAGGGGTCCTAAAGAGCACAGCGCGCACAGATGTTAACGAAGCTGGTACAGCATTCCAACTACCGTCCTGCCTGCTTTTTCTGAGCCCAAACATATCACCAGTGGGGTCCTAAAGTATTAGACAGCACAGCGCACGCAGACGTTAACGAAGCTGCTACAGCATTCCAACTACCATCTTCACCTGAATAGAATGCCCAGTCATTATCGCTGTATCTGGACTTAAAGTTGCCCCAAATACAGCCCTAATTACCGGGTTTTCTATTCGGGTGAAGATGGTAGATTTGGTGAAAGAGTGCATGTGTACTTCACTGTGCAGCGCCTACCTCATCACCAGCCCAGACCTAAGGGGAAAGGTGGGGAGGGGACCAGTCACCAAAGGGAGGGCAACAAGATGGTCGGTCAGTCCCACCCCATCGAGCAAACCAACCCCAAAACAACAAAGTGTTTTCTTTTCTCTTTTTTCAGACAACAAAGTGAAACAAGGCCGATACAAGACGGCTTTAAAAAAAAAACAAAAAAAAGTCTGTAAAAGTTACTAAAAACGTGAATACCAAACACACACACGGGCCATCCATTTTCACTTTCACATAATGTTGTCATCAACAATTTTCTTGACCTTTCCAACTAAAGACAAGCAACCAAACACCACTGACAAACAGGAATTTTTTTCATCGCACGACCCTGTGACTGTGGCTGTTTTCACATCTTCTGAATTATGTGTGGTCGTAAGGTCGCACGACTTTGTGACTGCGGCTGTTTTCAACTTTTCACGTCTCCTGAATTATGTGTGGTTGCAAGGTCACACGACTCTGTGACTGCGGCTGTTTTCACATCTTCTAAATTATGTGTGGTAGCAAGGTCACACGACTCTGTGACTGTGGCTGTTTTCACGCCTTCTGAATTATGTGTGGTCACAAGGAGGCTTGCCTGTATTGTTTGCGTCCAGGTGTTGATCGTCAATACATCGCCATGCCGAAGTTTCAGCTTTGTCTCTGCACAAACCCCATCCTGCAAAAAAGGCATTCATCGTTTTCTTGCTGTCAGCTGAACGGCAATGCCCTTGGTCTGTCAGTGAACATGTCGCCAGCCCAGTAAAAGGCACAACGTGTATCAGGCTTCTACATGACCTCACTGAGTCACACTCACACTAGCATATTTCTTTGAAGTAATTTTGCGGCCAGATACATCCGGGTTCGGCCGTTGATGTGGTCAGATGCATTTAACATACAGCTAGTGTGAGTACGTCCTGAGATGAGAAGCAAGACAAACACCACAATATAATCAGCGCCCCCTTCCATTCGCCAACAACACATTACAACGCACTGCCATATGCCAGACATCGGCTAGAAGCATCGCACCCGATGTCCGCACACGCCGATCCCATTGCTCACACTTCTTTTTATTCTTTTGAAAAGGGCGATGCCCTTCAGATATGATTATCCAACCAAGCAGCCGCGGCAGATATGATTATCCAACCAAGCAGCCTCGGTTAAGTCCGCAAACTTATTGGATTCCATTCATGTAGTTCAAGTCCCATCGGGGTTCGAACCCAGGTCTGCATTTCAACAGTTCAGGGATGTACCAACCGATCTAGGCCCATTTGTTATGAACATGATTGTCTGTTGAAATTTTATCAACACTCACTCACAGGAACTCCCATACACGCCCATACATGCACAGAAGGAAGGGGAGAGGTAGTGGAGTATCACACCGCCCAACAGAAAGAAACGCAGCGGAAGACTCAGAGGAGCGAAGTGACAGAATACACAAACTGTGAATTCTCTCCACACAAGTCCCAACAATCATTCATAGAAGACAACCGAGTGATCACAGCCAGAAAGCCATGAAGAGATGACAACTCAAACACAGTATTACAACTGTTTATTAAACTCAGAACATCGTTTTCACCGAATAACCTCAGAACCCTGTTACGCTACCCTCAGAGCAAATCCACGAATGATGGTTCGAATCCGGTAGCGCCTCAACCCCAACACCCGGAACAGCTAAAAATAGCACCGATCGGGTCATGCTTTTGAATCACACTTCTTTTTATTCTTTTCAAAAAGGGTCATGACTCATTAGTGATGAACTACAGATTTAATAATCCAACTGACCGCCCCCGAGTAAGTTAGAAGTATTTGATTCCATTCATCTAATTCCACTGCGATTCGAACTCAGGTCTGCATTTCAACAGTTCATGGGTGTACCAACCGAGCTAAGCTCATTGGTCACGTCACGCTTGAATCACACATTCCTGAAAATCATGAGCAACACTGACATGTGAAACACAAACTACACATTGATACCTTCTTGAAAATCACCAACCACACTGATTTACGAAACACAGACTAAACATAAACCCAGGCCGTGTGTCGCGCTTTTCGACCAAAGACGCTACCTTCTTCCCCCGAATACAACGTACAGTCATTATAGCTGTATTTAGACTGAAAGGTACCCCGAATACAGCTATAACGACTGTACGTTGTATTCGGGGGAAGAAGGTAGCATTCCATCCATGACCACTCTCCATGTTCACTCCAGCTCACCTCAACAGTTGCAAGCAGTTCGCGGAAGCTGGTTCGTTGAGCCGCACGCTCTCTCTTTGAGTGATGCTTGCTGCCTTGCACCGACAAAGCCCTCATCTGTTCCACAACTGCCACCTGCTTCCTCCCAAACTGTTTCTCTCTGCTTCCCTGTTTCACCTCAGTGACACCATTGACGCTACCCAGGTCGACAACCGGGCCATCTGCCCACGATCCATCGCTGTCACTGCTGTCATCACGATTCAGCGAGCTGGTTGTCTCATATAAAAGCGCAATACCTTCGCCTGCAGCCGTGCGAATCGCGAGATGTTCATTATTCAGGAGGGAAGACAGTACAGGAAGAGCACTGCAGCACACGCACGCATAAGACAAAAAGGCTCACACATCAGCCAATCCTAAACTGATTCACACACAAGAAAGAAGAAGTGTTCCGCTGGCGGATCGGAAAAGCTTGGCGCGCAGAGCAGAACCCCAGGTGGTTTGAAGGTGCCTTTTTTGGTTCAAAGGCAACGCACTGACCACACACCTCACAATAAACAACAGTGATCCACGCGAAAACCAGCCACATACCAAGAAAGGACATGGATACCTCAACATTCCCTCCTCCTATGGGGCTCGCCGCACCTCTCTCCAAATGCCAACATTTTGAATAATCGAGACAATAGAAGGTTCACATACATTCAACACGTTCACACTTGGCGAGTGGTGCAGCAAGACCCTATGTCAAGCGCTGATAATGATTGTGTGCACAAATGGTATCCGACCAAACAGCAAACGGTTCCAAGGATCCCGAAAGTGGCTGCAGACCGGTGCGCCATCTTTAAGCCATTCCCTAAAAGCCATCCACCATCATTGACTTACAATGACGCTTGACGAAACATCTGCCAAACAGGAAGAGGTTCCGTCGAGCATCATTGAACAGTACGACTGTACTTAACACACCAGTACTTGGCCCAGCGATCAGCCATGGAAAAAAATAGAGTAGAAACGTTTCTAGTCGGATGAATTTGGGCGCTCCTGCCCGTACATTTCCTAAAAGTGTGGCTTGTTAATGGGCACGACTTTAGGCAGTACTGGTGGTTTAAACAGGATCTGTTCTGTAGGCCGTACCACTTTCCTGTATCTATGTATTTACAGATGACTTTTCAAACCTGGATGACGAGAGGAGAGAGAGAGAGAGAGAGAGAGAGAGAGAGAGAGAGAGAGAGAGAGAGAGAGAGAGAGAGAGAGAGAGACGGAAAAAAAAACAAAAACGAAAAAAGAAAAAGACATGTTCAGTCTACCACCATCATGGCTGACAGAGCAATGCAATCATTTTCTTCCCCCTTCTCCCATCGACATCGTCAATCCTCTCCCTTCTATCCACAGCCTTCAATTACCAAACCTCTGCTTCTTCCTCTTCATCTCCAGATCCACTCCCCACAGCTACAGCTGAACCGTCACCGTCGAAGGCTCTGGCTAAACCACTACCGTCAGATTTTAAATCCAGAGGCTTCCACGTTCTCACTTTTTTCTCGGCACCACCAATCCTGTAACATATGATCGCTGCAGCAGAGAGACTGGTGCTTCCTGAAACACGAGCACAGTGGATCTAAATTACCGAACCTCCTTTTTCTGTGCTGTAGTCACCACTTGGAGACTGGTGATCGCTGCAGCACAGAGACTGGTTGCCGCCAGGCATTTGCACGGAAAGCAAGGCAAGGCCCACTTGGACAGTTCCGAGGAGGCCGGGGTTCGTCCTGGTGATTTTACATCTTTGCCCTCGTCTTAACAATCTCTCTTCCCCTTCCTCCCTGATGCTTCCTATTCCACTTTGACTAGGAATATTTTTGTCTTAACAATCTCTCTTTCCCTTCCTCCCTCATGCTTCCTCCTTTCCACTTCGTATAGGAATATTATTCCTTGCTGCTTCTTCCTCCTCCTACACCTGCCTTTTTCTCCCTCTACCCTATGAAAACTCTAATCAAAAGCAGGCAAACAAACATTGTGGTCAGCCATTCACAAGCTCTGGAAACACAGAATCAGAGTTGGACATCACCGCATCTGCTCACCTCTCTAAATAATCAGAAGCAATTTTCCTAGGCACCAATGTTGATAGCAACAGAGACCAGGCCAACAGTGCCGACGCCTGAAGAGGCGGGGGGGGCGCTCCAATCCCCAGTTTCTGCAACCAACCGCCATCAAGTACAACGACAAACGCAACCGCCGTTAGCTCTGCGCCCATTGAAAGTTCACAAACCGAGTTCACCCAGACAGATGCCGACTGGAGATCCTGAACAACAATGTCCACAGAGTACTCACACAGGACTTACATGGTGCACAGACTAATTTTTCTTTTTTTTTCAACTCTATTTTTTCATCGCCAGTATCATAGCGGCAAAACAACTAAGCGAAATTGAAATCATTTACATACATTGATTATTGAACTCTCCGGTTTCAGGGCCACCATGGCTTTTTTGAAAATACCGACCAGTATGCATTCATGAAATGGCATCACATAATCACAGTCAACAACGAATATTGACAAACTACCTCATCAAGAGATAAGACGCGCGACTTCAAAAAACGACACGACAATCAACCTGATGGAGATGCGACGTGACTTCAAACACATGAATACTATCTGTCGGACATCCCGGGAGGTGCACCTGGACACTCTTCTGCTTGTCCACTCTTCATCACTTCATCAAGGGTGTTGGTTCTTTCAAAGAGGGTGTAAAGGGAGAGAGGGGGGGGGGGATGAGGGGGGGAGGGGAATCGCACAGCTCCATTGGAAAGAGCTTGCAGCTGAGGGTGTACTAGAAAATCTCAACCAAAACGAGGACCAGGACATATACCCTACCAAATATGGAGAGAGGTGACTAAAAGGAACAATACGTGTACAACCAACGGGGCTAGCTCAGTTGGTACACAGACCCGAGTTCGAATCTGGACACAATCAGATACCAGAATAAATTCATTCTGAATGACCTGGGACCGGCTAGTTCAATGAGGATATCTCAAGCTCGTCGCCCTTTAGGGGAACGCACAGAAAGGCATAATATGTATTACATTGTCACATACGAACGAACCAGAGCACATTCGTGAGACAGATGCGGAAAATTAACCAGAGAGCGAGGATTTTGAAGGGGACAAGAACATCGAGGCAGAATCTTTTCTTTTCTTTTCTTTTTTTTCCCAACAACGCCAGCCATTTCTATTCTGGGGGGCATCGGTCCGGTTGCTTATCACCGGCAAGCAGCATTTTTTGTACAATTTGAAACAACCAAGGGGGGAGCACAGACAGAGAAGAGAGACGGCCTGCCCTTGTGGCTCGAGCCGCCTATTCAAGGGGGGTTGCCACAGCGCCAACCCCTCACACCTTTTGGCCTTTCCTTAGGCAGAACCTTTTCTTTTTTTCGTTTTTCCTTTTTTTCCCCCTCCGTTGTTTCAGCAGAAGCCCTCATATATGCATATGTCTCTTATACACATCTAGATGTGTATAAGAGACAGCCTCAGAACCCTGTTACGCTACCCTCAGAGCAAATCC